GAGGGAGGGGAAAGAAATCAAATCTAGACTAAGGGAATACTCAACCCGAGAAACCCATGAAAGGCCCTAAAGGAGTAAAAATTCCCAGAATTTGTCCTTCCCCAAATTTGTTTCCTTTTCTTCTAAAAATACCCTACTACCCTCATATACACCCAACCCTACCCGCACCTTTGAACCAATGTTCTCAGTGACATTTTTCTCTTTTCATTATGGCTAACCTGTCAAATCTTTAGGTGGCAGGTCTGGAATATAATCTTACTAGGAAACCAGATACAGATACTTGAAAAGGCAAAAAGTTGGTTTAAAACTAAATGGTAAAGGGCTGGGGATGCAGCACAGTGGTGTAACATTTGCCTATAGCAAATAGAACCTATAGCAGGTTCTGGGTTTAATCCATTACTGCAAAAACAAAACACAACAAACAAATAATAACTAAATTCTATGCTCTCATAAAGATTCCTGTTGTTGCTGACAACCTAGTTCTTACCTTGGAACAAAGCGTCCAAGTGAAGGTGCAGACATCCGGGCATTGCGGGGCGCTCGGTGCCTAGATCTGTCACCATTGTCCCTGGGGAGGAAAAAAGATTTTATATATATGAGATAGTCACTAAAGTCAAAATTAAATTCCTATGCTTAGAGGAACCCAAAAGTCAGTATCTCATGGCTCACTAATTTGGGTAACACATTATTCTTTTCTTTTTTTTTTTTTTTTGTCAGTCGTGGGGCTTGAACTCTGGGCCTGGGCGCTGTCCCTCAGCTCTTCAGCTCAAGGTGAGCGCTCTACCACTTGAGCTACAGCGCCACTTCCGGTTTTCTGGTGGTTTATTGGAGATAGGAGTCTCACGGTCTCTCCTGCCTGGGCTGGCTTTGAACTGCTATCCTCAGATCTCAGCCTCCTGAGTAGCTAGGATTACAGGTGTGAGCCACCAGCACCCGGCTTATTATAATACTTTTCTAAAGCACTTCAACGAAAAAATGGACGATTCAAGTAAGAAGAGCAGGATTTTTCTTCAGTCAGTATGGTCTTCCAACCCAGTAGTTTTTCTAGAATGAAGACATTGGGTTTGAATGTTTGGCTTAGGTGGTAGAGTACCAGCCAATGAGCAAAAACATCACATACTGATTTCGAATTTTGGTCTCAGATAAAAAAAAAAAAGAAAATATGTATGCTTGCATGTATTCATACAAAACATCTTGCTGTATTGAAAAATGCAAGGAAAAATGAGTTTCGGTGATCATGGAGAAAAATTTGACAAATGGTTATCTTCAAATCAATCAGTTTAGAGTCCCTTGGTGGAAAAATAAATGAAAGAAAAAAGAAAAAGACTAGTGCATCCCTTCTTTGAAAGACTAAAAACTTGACAACGATAGGGACTGTGAGCAAATGAAATCTTAAACCAAGTCATTTAGGTAAAAAGAAAAAGCCCAGGTTTTCTCTATGAACTTAGAATAATAGCAATAACCACCATTTATTCAAATGTCCATCAGGTGTCAATACAAAGGTTACTAATAAGTTATCCCACCTGATCCTTCAAGCCAGCTCATGATATATTAGTTCTTTTACAGATAAGAAAACTAAAAACCAAACATGCAAATATGTAAGACTACACAGCTAGTTAGATTCAAAGAATATCTGACTGGATTTTGCTGGGCCTTGATGGCTCACACCTGTAATCCTAGTTATTCAGGAAGCTGAGATCTAAGGATCACAATTCAGTCTGGACAGATAAGTCCCAGAGACCCTTATCTCCAATTGACTAGCAAAACATCAGAAGTAAAGGAGTAGTTCAAGTGATAAGAGTGCCAAAAAGTAAGTGAAAACATGAGGCTCGGAGTTCAAGCCCCAGGGTAATGGCATAAATAGGTAAATTAAATGAGGAGAAAAGAGGAGAGGAGGGGAGGGGAGAGCTCTGTCAATCCACCCATCTGTCTTCACTGCTTTCTATAAGAAAAGAAGAGAAACTGCAAGAAAAAAAAACTTCATGTGGCTTAGTTGCCAAAGCATCAAAAGAACAAAAAGTCAAAAGGGCACTGGCTGGACAGTGCAGTTAATTAGCTGCTTAAACAATTCCACAAAATAAATGAACCTCTCTGAGAGCTTAGTATGGGACATTTTCTGAAATTTCCATTTGGATTATCTTCAAACCAATGAGATAATCTTCCCACTGATCTTAGAATCAAAGTCAAGGCAACATTGGCTTTTAAACAGGCTATGGGGAGTTTTACTAGCTCAAAAGCCCATGAAGGGTAGAATTCAAATCTATCCTGGCATTGGCTGCTAAGAGAAATCAATACCATGGACATTGGAAACTGATCTGTGAAGTCAGTATCAGGATAAAAACCCAGAAAAGAAGACACATTAATATTTTCCTAAGATATCATATTCTTTTGACTTGAAACTAAGTAGATGAAAGGAAGGGATAAGCCGGGAAGGTGGCTCAGTGGTAGAGTGCTTGCCTTGCATGCATGAGGCCCTGGGTTTGATTCCTCGGCATCATATAAACAGAAAAAGCCAGAAGTGTTGCTGTGCTCAAGTGGTAGAGCATTATTAGCCTTGAGCTGAAGAGCTGAGGGACAGTGCCCAGGCCCAGAGTTCAAGCCCCATGACCAACAAAAACAAAAAACAAAAAAAGAAGGGGCTGGGAAGGTGGCTAAGTGGTAGAGTGCTTGCCTTGCATACATGAGGCCTTTGGTTTGATTCCCAAGCACCACATAAGCAGAAAAAGCCAGAAGTGGGGCTGAGGCTCAAGTGGTAGAGTGCTAGTCTACAACTGAAGAGCTGAGGGACAGTGCCCAGGCTCAGAGTTCAGGCCCCACAACCGACCGAAAAAGAAACAAAAAAAGAAAGAAAGAAAAAGGAAGAAAGGAAGGGAGAGAGAGGGGGAGGGAGGGAGGGAGGGAGAGAGGGAGAGAGGGAGGGATAGGGCCATATACTAAAGGGCCATATACTAAAACCAGCACTGTTGGCTCACACCTGTAATCCTAGCTACTCAGGAGGCTGAGATTTGAGGATAGCAGTTTGAAGCCATCCTAGGTAGAAAAATCCTTAAGACTCATCTTCAATAAAACACAGTTGCCCCCTCATTATATCGCAGTTCACTTATTGCGGCTTCACTGTATGAAATGTTATTAAAAAATACATCAATAGTGGTCCCTCTCCTATAGCAGGATTTATATTCAAGAGACCCCTGCAATAGGTGAAAATCTGCAAAGTAGCAGTATTACAGCGCAATATAGAGAGGGAGGGCTGTCTAACTCTGCTACTTCACGGATTTTCACCTATTGCAGGGGAGGGGTGAGGTGTCTCTGGAATATAATTCCTGCGAAGGGTGAGGGATCATGCACTCAGAAAAAGCTGGAAGTAGCACGATGGCTCAAGTGGTAAAAGATGCTCAGGGCAGACAAAGAAAAAAAAGAAAAAGAAGACCATATAGTAAAACAGGAGTTGAGAAAGAAAGAGAGAGGAGAGAGAAAGAGAGAGACAGCGACAGAGACAGAAACAAACAGAGACAGAGAAAGTGAAAGTGAGAGTGAGAGCGAGAGCACGCGAACGAGCAAGAGTGAGCTCACTGGGCTCTGGCAGCTTATATTTGTAACCCTAGCTACTCAAGGAGACTGAGAGCCAGGCAGGGGGGGGGGAGGCTCACACCCATAATCCTAGCTACTCAGGAGTGTGAGATCTGAGGATCTCAGTTTAAAGTCAGCCCTGGCAGGAAAGCCTGTGAGACTCATATCCAATAAACCACCAGAAAACTGGAAGTGGCGCTGTGGCTCAGGTGGTAGAGTGCTAGCCTTGAGCTAAAAAGCTGAGAGACAGTGCCCATGCCTAGTTCAAGCCCCACCATCAACAACAACAACAAAAATCAAGGAAACTGAGATCTGAGGATCATTGTTTACAGCCATCCCAGACAGAGAAGTCCAGGCCATGAGACACTTAACTCTATAACCAGCAAAAAGGCAGAAGTGGGTATGGCTCAAGTACTATGTCGGCCATCAGTGAAAAAGCTAAGGGAGAGAGACTGCGTTGGCCCTGACTGAGTCCAAGCTCCAATATGGCACCAAAATAATAAATGAACAATAAGATCAGATTTTCCTGACTCATAGTTAGTGCATAGTGTAAAGTCACCAAATTATTACACATGCACAAAAGAAGTTGAAAATCAAATGAGACAATTCTCAAATTAAACATGCAATTATGTTTCAAATACATAGAGATTTCAGTTCTCATTAAAGTATCAATTTTGGAAGTGGTGCTGTGGCTCAAGTGATAGAGTGCTAGCCTTGAGCATCAGAGCTGAGGGACAGCACCTAGGCCCAGAGTTCAAGCCCCACAAGCAACAACAACAACAATAACACAACAAAGTATCAACTTTTATTTATTTATGTCAATCATGGGCCTGGGCACTGTCCTTGAGCTCTTCAGCTAGAGGCTAGTGCTCTACCACTTAGACCACAGTGACACTTCCAGTTTTCTGGTGATTTACTGGAGATAAGAGTCTCACAGACTTTCCTGCCTGGGCTGGATTTGAACTGTGATCCTTACATCTCAACCTCCTGAGTAGTCTGAGTAACTAGGATTACAGGCATGAGCCACCAGAGTCCAGCTTCTTTTTTTTGTTTTTTGTTCAGTCGTGGGGCTTTAACTCTAGGCCTCGGTGTTGACCCTGGACTCTTCAGTTCAAGGAAAGCTCTCTACCACTTGAGCCACAGCACCACATCCTTCATTTTTTTTTTGTCAGTCGTGGGGCTTGAACTCTAGGCCTGAGCACTGTCCCTGAGCTCTTCAGCTCAAGGAGAGCGCTCTACCGCTTGAGCCACAGTACACTTCTGGTTTTCAAGAGGTTTATTGGAGATAAGAGTCTCACAGACTTTCCTGCCCACACTGGCTTTGAATCACAATCCTCAGATCTCAGCCCCCTGAGTAGCTAGGATCATAGGCATGAGTCACAGGTGCACGGCCATTTTTTTTTTTAAGTACAACTGGAGCTGGAGACGTGGCTCAAGTATAGCTCATTTGCTTAACATGGGTGAAATCCTATGTTCAAAGCCCAGTACCTCTAAATAAGGATATACAAACACACACATATATTTTAATTTTTTGCCAGTCCGGGGCTTGAACTCTGGGCCTAGGCACTGTCCTGAGCCTCTTTTACCACTGAGCCATAGTACCACTTCTGGCTTTTCTGATTAGTTTTCTGGAGATAAAGTCTCACAGACTTTTCTGCCCAGGCTGGCTTCAAACCACCATATTCAGATCTCAGCCTCTGCGTAGCTAGGATTACAGGTGTGGGCCACCAGTGCCCATCTTTAAATATATACTTTTGAAGTATATATTCACAGCAATTCACAATAAATTTTTCATTCACAATAAATTCACAATAATTTTTCATTACTGTATATTTAACTTACCGATGGGCACAACCAATTATCATAACCAAAGTTAGAAAATATTTTGAAGCTTCTCCTAAGGAGAAAACAAGTAGAGACCTCTGAGCCTCTGGAAGATTGACAACTAAACTAGAAACATAATGAGCCGTATCCAATTACACCATTCTATAGCTTTGGAAG